GGGACATGACTAGTAGAATATCTTAAAGAACGCTTAATTGTATCCGAAGGCCCATTTTGACCCGCGAACAACGAAGCGTTCGACGATAGCTTACTTTTTTACCAGTTTATTGAAGATAGGCATTTCGTTTCACTCCTCCATTGTAATTATAAACAGACGACGGTTAGTTATTAAACAAGATATACCTGAAATACATTTGTGTTGACATAAAAACCTTATACTTATCATACTCCTCTATGTTTTATTGAATATATACATAGTCGTTATTAAACTGAAGTGAGTCGGGTTAACGGAGACGAGACATAAAAAATTTGTTTCCAAATCAATACTACGAACCACCATCAGGTTTAGAATAAGTAGGTTCCGTTCATTCGGAAAGATAAGCCTACTTGCTTCATCTCCAACCCTTTAGCTACAGTCACTTTTCAGGCAAAGCAAGTACGCAACGTAGTCGTGTAACTCCCGGGTCAGAAAAAAGCGCAACCGAAATGCCGTCAAATAGCGTATCGTAAAAAAACTGGATATAGCAACTATTAATAATAACGTATAATAACTTAGGTATGTATTACCGAGGTTATTATAGTAATATAAAGTATTATTAAGCAACGATCATTGAGAACGTATATAGTTTTCAAGTTCGGTACTCAAACTATTAAACATTACTTGAAACAGGCCTTCATAAATTTAGCTGGATTTTTTTCCAGTGGACCTATAAGGTGGCATCATAACGATATGCCGTAGAAACCGTTTGTCAAAGTTGAAATTTTAACTTAGCATGCTCATGGTTACCATAGAACGCATATAAGGACATATATGTTACCCACCCGTTGTTTGTATTGGCTTAGGTACCTCTTAAATAATCCCCAGTCCCGGGATTAGCCGGAATCAGATCGGGTTCTGAGAGGCCTCCATGTCAGAGCTGATCAAGTGAAGAGTTAAAAAAAAGGTAAGTTGATTGTTTTCGAAAATTAGCCTTTCGCTAACGACTAAAAAAGCAAAGCATAATAATTAACCGAGGTTTAGTGGGCTATTCATTGGCGAGCCTTATTCCAATGTATTCTACCAGATGCAATGCAACGCTATTTGTGAACATAATATTTCGTTGCGATGCGTGCCAAATGGCGTAAGCTGATTGTTTTTGTAGGACAAATATTCTTAAGCTCTACTGACGCGTTATATCTAACTGCATAAGGAGATTTTATGGAGTGTATATTCGGCCAATTCCAAGAAATTTGGGTCCTGGATTGGAAAAGGCCCACGCCTGCCGACTTGCTATTATAGATCCCATTCGATTTGGAGGATCAACAGATAATATCAGGATCTGATTATATTCTATAATCCAGGCTATAATTTCAGTCGATTATTTGACAATGATCATGGGGAGAAATGAACTAGTAGAACTAAAGAGCGAGCGATCTGCCATTATAAGAGCAAACAATCGTTACCACAACTATATTCATCATTAACTGTTAAAGTGAACAAAGTTTGATTTCCGTGTTTTATATAAAGTTACCCTTGATCATAAAAAATTCTATTAGTCTTGCTCTTCAACGTTTTGTTCTTCGAACTCATATGTGAAGATATCTATAAAGTGTTATATCCAACTAATTCAGATCATCCTTTCCTACGCCAGCTAGCAAGACTAACCGTAAAAGATTCACTGGGCCTGGGTCCGGGTCCGCTCGTTATGACCATCTGGTCTAATTTTCGTTGCTGTCCCTAAGTTATGCACGGGGTTAAGACCAACTCCGCCTACATCAAAACACAGAGCTTAACTTTTCAACCCTTCCGATTCTTCAATAACTGTGCCTTTAACGCGGGCGTCTCCGAAGCTATTTGTTCAATAAACAGTTCGGAGTGTCTAGTCAAAAGGCCTAAGGAGGCGTCAATATCGTGCCTAAACATTTTCATGAACTAGGGAGTTCTCCGAGGCTAAGGCTGGACCTAGTGATGACCGTTGGCTGTCAACCAGCCAACAGCCTCTTCTTCGCTGCTTCGCCGTAGCGGTCACCGATCGAACTTTGTGCGATCCACAGTCCGTCAAGACAATCAATCTCAACGCATTGCATCTCATTCATGATCGTATGTACCGGTAGTGCTGATGATTAGGCAAAGAACTGGCCATCATCCAGCCACACGATGGTTTAGTCTCCACCGAAAATCGACCTGTGATTTCGCGAAGAGCTGTAGAATGCTTCCATCAAGGGGACGGTAAATGTACGATACTGTTGTGTGAGCAAGCCCTCACCGAGCTGTGCAAACTTGTACAAGTCCGTGTGATGTATATCCGTGATTCTCAGCCTAACACCCCTTGCCAAATCTTAAAGGCCATTTGCATGATGACGTTTTTGGTGAAAACGGTGTGCGATTATATTTTACTGACGGCGTAGGCGTAACCGAGTGCCGAAATAAGCACTGTGCATTACATATAAACGAATAAGACCATCTGTGGCGCCAGTTGAGTGGCGGCCGTACTACGGAGGGCGTTGGGGGTGCGGATGCATGTATATTCAATTTCATATCTACAGAGTTGAGAGAGACGCTTTGGTTTAGCAACAACGGTAACCCGTCATTCGCCAGTGACGGATACGACCGTTCTAGTCTGACAATAACTTGACACGATTCATGCCAATGTTATGTAATCAATATTCAGTCAAGACAAGGGAAAATTCAAATTACAAAATGCGAGCTAAGATTGCTGCTAAGGACTGCTGTTATTTCGTTTCGATTGATATAAGAACTGAATATCACTCCTTCGAGGTGAAATAATTAGCTGCAACGTAGGCCGTATTCATGTGGTAATCACCTCAAAACAGTAACAGAGCCCATCGTACTGGGATGGCAAAGCTCATTTGATAACCCCTGCTGCTAATAGTTGATTACAGAAATTCGGTCTTTAGGTTGTACAATGGAAAAGCAAAACGGATGCTTTGTTACGACTGACGATGCTGCTGGTCTCGTACAATGTCTAGAGTACAAGAAATGCAGAGAAAAGATCCTAACTGCGTACAGTAACTTCCAGGTTGGGTTGGAGAAGAGAGCCTTTGTTCCGGCGGGCGCGCTTGGGGACGGCTACGCGCAGGAGTTAGAGAGAAAACATTTTCCGGTCCCACGTCAAAGAAGTTATCTTTTTTAACTTAAGCTTAATCTTTTTTGACGTGTTAACTTTTAGAAGTTGTTACAACGCGTCAAAGGCTACCTCAAATAAAGCTATGTCCGGCAATGCAACAGAACGCATCTAACCAAGGGCTGCAGTGTCCTGTGCATACGGGTGTATATACTTTAGTGACTGACCAAGTGTTTGAGGCACCTCTGGGAAACTAACATAAAGTAACTGAAACATCCATACCGCAGGCAGTGGCACTACTTCAGCCTTCACCATCAATAGGTTCATTCATTTACAAAAAAACCGCCTAAGTGAAGTTAATCCATTAGAGGAGTGCGTTTCCATACAGCGAATTGTGTCAACTGAGTGAGCCATTGTGTCGTTATAATCGTCACAATATGTTATTATGTTCAAGCTACTAGGTAATAAACGATAGGCATTTCTGGTCCGTTCATAGAAAAAGCTTTATTTTTGACACCTATGACGGATGAATAGCGTGCGTCTTTGCTCCAAAGGACCTGCACATAAAGAATGACCCGGGTGGTCGATGTGCCACCAACGATGGCGTACGCGACCTGCCATGTGGGCCTTGAAGAAACCCCTTCTTGAAGCAATTTCAGACAGCATTGATGATTAAGCTCATTTGTTTGTACGAAATACCAAGTTGCTTAATAACGTATAACACCAACATTCATCTGTGCTTGCTCCCTCTCTGTAAAAGTTCAGAGGAAGATAGGAATATTCAATGAATGAAAGTAGAAAGTCTAAACCCTGTAGGTCTCCAAATTTCAATTTCTTTCGACCCATTCTGGTTTTATGATTATATGAACGTTATTTCACCCATAGTAATAATAAGACAGCTTAAGATTTTCAGCTAAGTAAACTTTAAACACTCATATGAACCAATCTTTGAAGTATAATTTAAAAAGGTAAGCGTTGTTTGTCTCCAGTTCGTGTTTAAATCCTAAAGCATTATGTCTTCTGATAGGACCAGGTCTTCTGATATTCATCAGTGCCTCATATACCTACTAACGAAAAGCTAATTTCAACGGAGCTATTTGTTTGATGTAATTAAATTTACTAGAATTTATATCATTAAATGTTTAATGTAAATCTTTCTGTTCTATGTAGAAGTTCTACTAGGCACCTTTTTAGCATATAGCTTACGTCGAAGTTTTAGGTCATTAAGCCTAGATCATGTGGGGAAAGCAAGGACTCAGCTGAAGTAACAGATCATAAACTAAATACAAAGCCAATATGTAAATAGCAACAATGTTTTATTATTTCTATTTTTTTTACAGGTTCATTTACAGGTACCACAGGTGATATCGTTTGCGGATAGGCCGATGAATAGGCCTAGCAATCGGTATGCTCTGAGATCAACCAGTGAGGATATCGTTCCATTTGATAGCTGTTACATTACATGCAACGATAATATCAATATTTACTATTAAGCTTGCATCGCTATTAGATCTTGGTAAACAGCACTATCAATATATATATCTGCCTGACAATAGGCATAGTAAAAAGCATATTAGAACGGCTTGTAACCTTTTTTTCACGATGCAACCTAAGCCTCGAACGTAACATTGCCAATGAAAACACCACGCCTAAGGCGCATCTTTGTCACGTACGCGTACATCAAAAGCATTCTGCAAAGTATCGCATCACATAGCCAGGCCTAACTGTATAACGTTAGCTAACTACTTTTTCTAATGTTACATATATAGCTACTATTTGGCACTTTTCTTGCCATAACAATGCGATCTATTTTTAGTGGATTTCGTCATATTAGAGTTTCGGCAGACCGCGCGAAATTCAAATGCCCCAGACAATTCACCGGATCTCGCAGCTCACAGCCATGGCTCTCTCCAGCTTGTGTTTATCGGGTTCGCTATAACTGCACTTCCAGTTGTTGTTGTTGCAGATCTGCAAATAAAATAGAATAAGTATAATTATGATAATGATACCTAGTAATTAAACTTATACCCTACTTGTTCTATGGCTTAGCATATGCTTTGAGCACTTGATACAATAACGAGTGTATTTCTATCTGTTACAGATTGGGTCACCTAGCCCTTGTTTCCGCAGCTTATTATAAAATGCCAGGATAACTGACAAAACGCAAAGGGCAGCTTACCGATTTTTCATAAGCATCAACATAGTGTTGTTGTTAGCGTTGATAATGGAACGGAGCTAGCCACTAGTTGTGGGAGACCCCCACAGCTGAGCTAGGCAATAAACAAAGAACGCTTGTCTCCGCATCGTCTCACCCCGCCGATCCCTTTCGCACGAGAGGTTCTGGCCCCCGAAATATACATATTGCTACGTACTTAGTATTAGACCCCTTACTAGTTCTCAATAAACCCTTATACAGCCACAACTGCGCAAAATGAACGAGTTGTTGGCCGAAAAAAGCGAAAGCCGCTTTGGTTGGGGGTGCTGGCCACACGTGCAATGTCTAAAAATGGCAGCCCCCCCGGCATCACTCTCCTCTTCGGCCCCCGACTCGTAACGATGTCCATATAAATATCTGGCGTGCATAGACAAGGGACAGACACTACAATAGCGAACTCTTGTAGTAACGAACTCAAAGGATTTCGTGGACTGAGCGCATGGGCGTAAAACTCCTATCGAAGCGTTTTGCTGTTCGGAACCTAGTCAGGTTTACGCTGCGTTAAAAGAGGAGGTAGATACAAGGAGGTAGATAGGCGACCAAAAACACACCTAAGTTTTTGCTCGATCGACAGATCTGGCAGCGTGATGCATTCAGCGAACGGGTCGTTCATAATCTGACCGATGTTACGAGGCCAATGCTGAGTTGTCTAAAATCTGCGTTAACCTTCGAGTACAAATGGCCATGTCAGAAAGTATCGCATGGTTTGGGCTGAATGTGGTGAAACGATAATGGCAAGTTTGCAGATGGAGATGTACGAGGACGTCAATCAAATGAGGGGCCACGCGATCAAGAGAAAATGAATGCAATGAATAGGGAAGTGGGCATCGCTACGCCTCGATTGTCTAGCTGATAATAAGGTAGATATTATTGATCGAACGGAAAATCGGTGATTAATACTTACAGTTACCGCACAGGCTCAAATTTAGCTGTGGGCCATGATGCTGGAGCGCGGCAGCGAGTTTGTTGTAGCTTTGTTCGTCAAGGATATTGTCGGTGCCGTCGGAAGCCGTAGAGATTGTGGAGTTTCCGTTAAGGTCGAAGGCATCTGTAGGCGATCCGTCGGGTTCTTGCTTGACCACGGCGTCACAGCTGGCAATCGACGGCATCTGCAGGCATGTGGCAAGTATGCTGCCACATGATACAGGCGATGCTGATTTAGGACGTGGGTCAGGGGTTTCCATGGGAGCCGGCGAGCGTAAAGGTGATGAGGCAATCTTTGATTTAGGTGAATCAAATGTTTGTTGAGAAAAATCGAAGGTTGTCTGCGTCACGCTGTCTGGCTGAGAGTTCGGAGTAACTGGCATTTGGTAGTCGAAGATCGTTGCGCTCATTGGAGAATCAGCTCTCGATAAACTGTGTTCTTCGTCAGAGCAGCCCAGACCAAGAATGGTCTGTAACTCACGAATATATTCGGCAGCGCAACGCAAGGTCTCAACCTTCGACATCTTCTTGTTAGCATTCTTATACCCCTGCACGTGGTGCCGAAGCGTGTCAAACGTTCGATTGACATTCTGCACGCGTCGTCTCTCGCGTTCGTTTCTACGTGCTACAGACATCTTGTACTTATTGCTATCACATATCTTAGTAACGCCGACCATGACATCTGCCTTCACAGATGATAGCTCCTAGAATGGGGTTAATCGAACAAATATGTCACCCAGCCGCGTAAATTTGCACACTTGTCTTCTATAACTCAGTCATTGTCTCCTTACAGATACATACAAGATTTATTTTTTTCACATTGTCTAAATATTATCTAAATATAACATGTTCTGAGCAGTAGCACAATACATATATGTGTACATCAGGCCTATGCTGAATGTACATAAACCTTGTAACTGGAAAAGACTTACAGATTGCTGTGCTGGGACACTTCCTGAACTAAGCAGCTGGGCGGGCTGTACCGTTAATGCTGGCGTGTTTTGCGGGCTTCCACAACCCGACTTAAGCAACACTCTTGTGATAGGCATGTTTAGCTCCATCTCTATTCCACTGCGTCGTGCCAATAAAAACTAAAAAAAAAAAGAACCGTAATCCAAGCTAGGGAAGCACTGATCTTATCTGGGTCGTTTTCTACGTTGTGACACGAAACCCCGAAAGCCTGTTGATAACTGGGAGTAACTACCGAGCTACACCGGTTTTGAACCTCCGTCGGTTCTGGTGGGAGAGGGTGCTCTACCCAGTTCAAGTTCTGGAGAGGAGGCAGGAAACCTGGGGTTGGGCCTATAGCAACGAAAAAACCGCCGCCTATTTTGTCTCTGCTGCTTTTTCTTCATGGCGTGTTTTCTTCTGTATCTCTTTTATGGTGCACGTAGGTGCTTTGGGCTGGTACGATATTAGCGGAGCTACCGCGGCAAACCGACTCCATTAGTTAGCGCATATCGCGCTGAGACACTTCAGTTTCAACAGATTCATTAGATGGGGTTAAATATAGCGAATTACGCTTGTTCTGGAACTCTGACACCAGCAAATTAGCAAGGTTACCGCTATGCTTCATCCGATCCCATCGTGCAGGGTAATGCGAATCCGGCGACGGTTTACGCCTTGCAGTTCCGATATCACATGTCCGACAGCGAGACACGAGCTATCGAGCAGCCTTAACCAACAGAGGGAGTACAAGCGCTATCGTAACACATCACAGCCGTACCGATCGTTGCGATATTCAGTCGCTCAGCAATGAACAGTCGTCCCAAATGAATCCCGACCATCGCGTCTTGTGGAGCCGCCACACGATGGCATAATCAGAGAAACCATAAATCTAGATTTGTGTTATGTCCTCTCTCTCTCGGCAGACGTTGCTCTGTCTTCGGCGTTGAGTGAGTTTTGCTGTTATGGGCACGACTTGGTCGTAGACGAAACTTATTGAAGTTGAAACTAGCATTGGGCTGGGCAAAAGTTCTGCACTTCCTGGCCGAAAGCCAGTACACGTTGCGATGTACATAGAAGGGACACAACTATGTCAGTCACTCTATGCTACGCGTGCTTACGATTATGCGAGGTGACAGACCTCCGGGAGAGATTAAGTTGATAACTTTCTTAGACGTGTGGAGAAACTTTACAACACCCACGGGATAATCTCAAGGTCTCGTAAGTTCATTAGACCTACCCAGTCTAGTATATAACTTTATTGTATTCTAACAGAAAGCATTTGGGCGGCGTACGTCTCAAGTTGATTTCGAGCAGATTTAATACAGAATTATGCTACAAGTTAGCAACTGTATGAATCGAAGCGCTCTTGCAAAGTCATGTCATGATATATAACGATTTATTTTTTCTTCAATGATTTCCTTTCCTCTACGAATCCTCATTCATCCTTGATTACTCGGATATTTGCTAATATAGGCGCAGTCACTCGTATTCCTTTCTGTGACATTTAAACTTTACCTTGCAGCATACTCTATCAAGAAACTCTGTGCTTGTGAATATCGTGTATTAGAAAGGTTTTTTTTTTTTTGTTTTTTTTTATCTATTGTAATCTACAGCTTTTTCTTAAAATAGAGTTATCGGCAAAAGTTTTTGGTATTCATGGATTTCTAATTGAGCTAAGTAACTAGAGTTTTTCTATCACGACTCATTATGACCACCTAGTGCATTTAACTTGCATAGTTTGCACTATTCCTTTTAAACAATTTGGACAGCAGACAAAAAACTTGATGGATCGAAGTTTCTACCGAAACTTATGCTATTTCCTTGTCTATATATTCTAACGCTTTTGTTCTGAGTGAAAGCGCTGCATGAACCCAAGTGCTTAACGGGCTATGCTGCTACCGTGTGTCAATGTTAGCCCGGCGAAAATCTTTCTTTGCTTATTTCTGCCGCATGGTATCCGCCTCTCCATCTCGGACAGTAGGTCGGAAGGGTTTTTAGACCTAAGAGGCGTCCCGACCGATTTTTCATTGATCATTTGAATTTAACTCGACCCAGGTCACTGGCTACGAACGAAAATAAAGAAGAAATATTGGATGTCTTCGATGAACGCGCACGTCTCGCGGAGAAAATGCTTTACTAACGAACTGTAAATAAGCTCTTTTGATGCGATTCTTCAAGCATCTTCTCCGATGTTTTCGTTGTCAACTGACATAGCTAGTAAGGTATGATACACGATCATGTCCGTAAGCGACAACCATAGTTTATAGCGAATAGAAACATATCGTGAAATAAAAGCTACATTTTAAGCGACCCCTGGATTAGTACGTAGTTCCTTGACAGCCTGGATCCTCCTCTTTGCTCTTTTGAAATTACTTATCTGAACGACTCTAACGACGACAACGAGTGTACGTCTAGTCCAATTGATACCTACCATATTTCAGTTGTTGGAATGTTTTTTTCTTTTTTAAATAGAAAGCGCCTTACCATTGCAGATAGTGAAGTGAAAGAAAAAACTCGAAGTTTTAGCCTAGTTTGGTATTTCGGTAAATATGTACAAGAGGGCTGCTTTGAGTCACGTATCAACAACTTTAGTAGACTATATTCATCTTACTAGTTATGCAAGTTTTTTTTTTTTGTAAATTAGGATTTCGATCGAAAATAGTTAGGGCTCTTGGTGGAAACAACCGGATCCTCCCCTTTTGCTTCTAAGTAAGTAGAACAGCTACCGCCGCTCAGAAGTCGAAACAATCGGCCATCGCTGTTCTCGTTTTCAAGTGCCATTGGTCCTGTGCTATAATCGAGGTCCCATTGGTATGCTCTACATTGTGATCAGCAGGCGACCGTCGCCGTATACCCGAATGCCATTTTTCCGGAGTAACTTGTTTGTTTATCTAAAATTCGACTGTCCATTGCCGATGTTTCGATCACGACCATGCATTTGTATAGCAGCTCACCTCTGTTGGGGGTAACCTGCTCGCAATAGGCGCCGACGAACAAATAGCTACAACAAATGCAGTCCAGGCGTCGTGACAAAGGCTCAGTACGACTCCTAACGTACCAGCTTCTGTGAAGTTGCTCGGCTTTCCAAAGTCGTGTGGATCACCGTGATTATAGTACAACGATCACTTTGAAGTTGTCCGAGCGTGTAGACCAAGCAGAAACTACTTAGTGAACTTGTCATATAAACTTCAAAAGTAGAATAGCAAAAGTTTTCATGCGTGCATGGTATGTTAGCCTTCGTAGATACATAATTGCAGATATACATGCATGATGAAATCTTGTTGTAAGCAAACACATATATTTATACATATATATATCGATGGAATAATTGAATGCAAATCAAAGCACCGCTGTGGTTACTGAACATCATTCAGAGGTCGTCCACATCATGATCATCAATAGGAAATAAATCAACTTGCAAGAATCTGTTTACGCTCGCCACGCTGCGACTGCGGGAGTTCATTGATGGACAGCAGGACATCAACAATGTTAGGCTGGTGTCCTTTGTCGTCCCATCGCCGGCCAAGTTATATGATCGCCGCAGGGCATCAAGTGGGCTGCGGGTCTCCAAACAATCGAATCAAGAAAATCAAGTCTGCTTCGTGAACGCTACCCGCAAACAGACGTAAAAACTATCCGGTACACCCACACTATGGTAGGATCGCATTACGTTTGCTGTTCGATTGGTGGATAATCGAATTTATCTACTGTTTATAAATGCCTATGCCGAGACAAATAAATCAAGTAGAAGGGAAAAGGAGCTTAAAGAACACGACGACCTATTTTGTAGAAAGATTTGTCCTACGAGGTCTAAAATAATGCGTAGTCGTCTGAACACGTTCGACTATCGGAGAAATGATCATGCAATACGTATTGCGTGTTAAAAGTAAAACATTTTTACCTCATAACTTTGCGATTTTCATCGGTTGGAGTTGATTTTTATACGAAACAGGACAGAAGACCCATCTATATCATACGTCAAACAGTACACTTCTTAGCCTAATAGGAAAACTTATAGCTATCCATGATTTTCTTAAAAATTTAATTGACGGTGTCCGTATAAGTTATGTGAAAAAGTGTACCCGAGAAAAGTATTTAGTTTTCTTGCCCAGCTGCTTGCAAAAACCGCGTTGCATTTGGGCAAGTAAGATTTAACGAGTATTGACTTGCAACAACAAGAGGCTTGAACCGCCTGTATCTGTAATACAAATTAATATCCGGAAATGTCTGTCTAAATTATGCCATGAGTGACCACATTTACAAATCACATGACTCGTCAATGCCCACTCATGTGAAAAGCATCTAGTAACACTCACGATACCTAGAAGCTGACTGGAATGAAACCAGTTCACACATCCGTACGTACACCGTAAGAAAGCTGCATATTGAAATGTGCCAGTAGAACGATCTATGTGCAAGCTGAAGAACATCTATATAGATTTAGCCCCCACTATTCATGGACACTGGGCAGGCGACGAGAGTCGCGGACTCGGGCACCCAGGCCTCAGCCGTCCACTCCTCTCACATCTTCGCGCGCACATTCGAGATATGATTGTCGTGTGACTCCAGTTCTAACGAAGCGTAGCTGCCTCGAACTTTGTCGTTAGCGGGGGTTGCGTTGGGGGAGACGGATTAGTATCGCGTCAAAGACTCCATACCTATTTACACTCACTCACTCACTCAACCCCTCAACTCCTCATTTATCCAAGCTAACTGATACCTCTAAGGTGACGCCACAGTTACCGCCTATCGCTTAGTTGAACTTAACGTGTTTATATGCGTATGAGTGTGTGTGTGTGTGTGTGTGTGTGTGTGTGTGTGTCTTATGCAAATTGCCACCAGCGATATCATCATTGCGCGGTACAATAATATCATAAAAATCACAGCCTGCGTTGGGTCGCTCATTGTTACTATCGACGAAGACCCGGGATGGGCCACGATGATTATGGCTATTGATAATCGTACTTGTTGTTCGAGTGAAGATCGGATATCACCCACGGTCCCGACAATATCCTTGCAGGCGTCCTAAGCTCTATATTGCCGTTTTTTCTTTTTCTTATTTCGCTGACGATAGGTCCTAACTGCCAGATTAGCCGGACCTTTTGATGATAGTCCCGT